CCCCCCCCCCCCCCCCCCCGCCCCCTCATCCAGCACTCACCTCCGCCGTCGTCCGTGCAGCGTCTTTTCCCCCCTCCTCGGGTCCGGCAACAAGCAGTATGTGCGCCGCTTCGCGGCCGAGTCGTTCGCCTTCCTGTTCCGCCGGCTGCCGGCCGACAAGGCGGCCCTCGTGCTGGACCTCCTGCTGGCCGAGATGCCGGCCAACAAGGCGGCCAATCGCCGCCAGACCCCCCTGGCCACCGGCCAGTCTGCGGCCACCCTCGGCAGCCTCACCTCCATGGAGGCCCTGGCCGCCTTGAGCCCGCAAGCTTCGGACTTTGACGAGAGCCTCTGCTTCCTCTTCTTCGACGTGATCAAGGTGCGCCGTTCGCGCACGCGGGCCCTCTCTCCCCGCCTGGCGCCTCAACCTGTCACTGACCTGCCATCGCCACTGTGTCATTGTGTCGCGCCCACCGCGCCCACCACTACCACCGCACCGCCACCAATAACAGGGTGTCCCCGGCCGCCTGCACTCCCGCGGCACGGATACCCTTGTCATGCTGCTCGACCGACTGGACCAACTCTGGACCGAGGACCTGGCGCGTGCCGAGCGCTTCAAGGCCGTGCTCATCGGGCTGAATGTCCTCCTGTGCGGGCACTCCGAGCGCGAGCACTCGCAGGTGGCCATCCAGGTGTATCTGGACCGCCTGGCCGACCTGGGCAGCCTTGGCGAGACCTCCCTGGCGGCCGGCACCCGGTACGCCGTCTGCATGCGCCTCCTGTCGGTCTGGCTCTCCGGCCGTGGCGGCCAGCGTGTCGATGGTGCGCACACATGCCCCCGCTGCTGTTCCTCCTCCTCCTCCTCGCTCCACTCCACCGTTTGCCATCCTCCCCTCGTGGACACCTTCGCACTCTCTCTCTCTCTCTCTCACACACACACACACCGTCGGTGCCCTCCCCGCCCCGCCGCCGCCGCCGCCGCCGCAGACTGGGCGGCCATTTGCTCCGGGGTCCTGGCGCCATCGCGCGCGGTGCTCCTTGCCTGGTCGGCTCCCGACGCCTCGGCCACCCTCCTGGATGGGCCGGCCTCCCCGGGGCAGGTGTTCGTCGCCTTTGCCGGGGTCCTGGCGGCGGTGCTGCGCTTTGCCGGGGATCTCCCCCGCGCGGCCATCTCCCCGCTAGCCAGCCTGCTCTTCACCCTGGTACGCGGCTGCCCGTCCCATGATGTCCCCCCCCCCCCCCCGCCCCTCCTTGCTCGCGGACGCATAGCACTCACCAAGTTGCCGCCACATGCCCCGGTACAGCCTCTCGGCATTTCGCTGGCCGTCTGCCGGTCGGTCCTGGAGGCGGACCACTTCTTCCAGCATGCCCTCGGCCCGTGCATGCAGGCCACGGCCGCGGCCCTGTTCGGCCCGGCCCCGGAGGCCGCCATGCAGGCGACCGCCTTCCTGGCCGAGGTGCTGCCGCTGCTGCTGGAGGATCCTCGGGCGGAGGGGATTCTGACGCGCACGCCGGCCGGCCTGGTCCGGCTGCCGCCGGTCCCGGGGCGCGTGCGCGCCGGCGAGGACCACTTCCCGGAGCACTGGCGTGAGACGTGCAGCCCGGCCAGCTGGCCCGGGCTCGACCGGGCCGAGCTGCCCGGCGCCTGTGCCACGGTCGTCGCCATCAGCACGCTCCTTCGTCGGCTGGACCTCGGGCCGGGTGCCACCGGGGCCGGGGTGCTGGACGCCCTGCTGGGGGCCGTGATCGGGCATCTGCCGCGCGCGGCCGGCGCCCCGGGGCTGCCCTATTCCGGCGTCGTGAGCCTGGGCCTGTTGGACCCGGTGGACGCGTGTCTCCTGCACACGGCGGCACATCTGATGGAAACCCTGGGCCACCTTCAGGCCGGCCTGGGGAAGGAGGCTGCCCTGCATGATCGCCAGTGGTTTGGCCAGCTGTTCCAGCTGGCCCCGGTGTGCTACACCTCCGGGCCGCTGTTGGCCGGGCTGGTGGCCGTGCTGCAGCCGCTGGCGGTGTCCGATGACGAGTCGGAGGCCGGGGGTGCCCTGCCTGCGGGGGTCCTGGCCACCTTGCCGGGGCTGGTGGAGCCGCCGGCCCCCGGGGCCCCGGTCGAGGCCCCGGAGCTGACGCCCCTCGGCACGGTCATCCTGCAGATGGGCGCCTCCTTCGACACGTTGACCCGGGTGTCGGCGCTGCGGCTGCTGCGGCTGCTGGCGCCGGGGCTGCTGGGCCCGGCTGCCGGGCCGGATGCCGCCACCACCGTGGCCACTCTCCTGGCCCGGCTGCTGGCCGTGGAGGCCATTCCCCTGGACTTGAGCACGCACCGTGAGCGCCTGCTGGAGCAGGATGCCCTGGGGCGCTATTGCGCCGGGGCCCGGCTGCCGGCCCCCTTTGACCGGCTGCCGACGCTCTTCCTCCTCTCGCAGATGGCCGTCAATTTGCGGCTCATCTGGCCCAACACGCGCGAGCACCTGGCCCGCGAGGCGGCCACCCGGCCGGGGCCCTTTGCGATGGTGGTGGCCGCGGCCCTGGAGCAGGCCCGCGCGTCGGCCATCGAGGCCGCGTCGCTGTCCGGCGCATCGGCCGGCTTCACCGGGGCCTTCCTCCCGGTGCTGGGTCTGGCCGAGGAGCCGTGCCTGGCGGCCCCGGCCCCGGGGCAGGTGGTGCGAGCCCCGCGCCGCGACCACCGGACCACCATCAACCCGCGCTTCGAGATCGTGGACACCTTCACCGATGGGCATGTCCGTGCGCTGGCGGCCAGCGTGCGCTTGCTGCTGGCCCCGCCGGTGGCCCTGGCCTTGCACCTGAATGGTCGGATGGTGGCCACGGTGACCGGCTCGCGGCTGGACTTCGCCGCCTTCGAGGTCCGGCTGTGGGACATGTTGCAGGAGGCCACCTCGGCGGCCGAGCGCATTGGCCGGTCCCTGGTGCCGCTGATGCTGGCCACCATGGACAAGTACCTGGAGGTGTCGTCCCTGCTGCAGGACGCGTCCCCGGCTGCGGCCGCGGGCGCCACCGCCGCCTCCACCGACAAGGATGCCGAGGAGGATGCCGAGGAGGATGCCGACGAGGAGGAGGAGGACCTGTCCGCCACCATGGAGGTCGATTCCTCGGCGCCGGCGGCCTCCCCGGAGGAGGCCGACTTTGTCGATGCCCCGGAGATGGCCCCCATCGAGGGCGCGCCGGTGGACGCGGGCACGGGCCCGGCGCACCTGCGGGCCCCGCACCGGCGTCACATGGGCCCGCTGTTGGAGGCGCATTTGGCCTTCCTGGCGCGCTTCCGCGCCGTGCGATCGGTCTTCCAGGGTGAGGCCCTGCGCGAGCGGGTGCTGCTGCTCCTGTGCCAGGGCGATGCCCGGGTGCAGCAGGCGGCCCTGGAGGCCCTGCTGCGCTGGCGCCCGCTGAACCTCGACCGGTATGCCGATGCCATCGGGTCGCTGATCCATGAGAAGCGCTTCCGCGGGGAGCTCAGCCAATTGATGGCCTGCCTGTGTGATGAGCACTTTGTCCGGCACAAGCGCGTGAAGACCGACAACCGGGTCGAGAAGTACGGGTCCTTCGGGACCACGGGCCTCGAGCCGGCCGACCGTCGGGTGGTCATGGAGGTGGTGCTGCGGGTGCTCTTCGGCAAGCTCTTCGCTCGGGATGGCCGGGCCAAGAAGGCGCTGGCCGGGCGGCGCGTGGCCATCCTGGCCCTGCTGGCCCAGGGGTGCACCCCGGAGGAGCATGCCCTCTTTGTGGGGCTCATGGTGCGGCCCTTCCTGCGTGGATCGGCCGACGACCCGGCCCGGGCCCTCTTCACCGGGCCGGAGCACTGGCCCACGCCGGAGCAGCTGACCTTCCCGCCGTCGGCCGATGCGAAGTCCGTGCCACGACGCTCTTCCGATCTCATGCCCTCTTTGTGGGGCTCATGGTGCGGCCCTTCCTGCGTGGATCGGCCGACGACCCGGCCCGGGCCCTCTTCACCGGGCCGGAGCACTGGCCCACGCCGGAGCAGCTGACCTTCCCGCCGTCGGCCGATGCGAAGTCCGTGCCGCTGGTGGCCACCGCCCCGCGGGCCCTGCAAACCGGCTTCCTGTCCACGGCCGGGTCGTTGCTGGAGCAGCTGGCCGGCCGGGCCCAGGGCTTCATGCCGCTCTTCATGGCCCTCTTCCTGGCCATCGGCCAGGGGAAGCTGCACCACCCGGCGGCCGGGCACGCGGTGCCGGATCTGCCGCTGGAGCAGCTGGTCCTCCGCCGGCTGGCCGCCGTGACCACGCAAATCCCGGGCTTCGACTATTCGCCCTATGTGGCCACCATCCATGCCGGGCTGGTGACCCCGCGATTGGAGCTCTTCACCCAGGGCCGCGGCTTGCAGCATCGGGTGGGTCTGCTGGAGCTGCTCCGGGCATGGTCGTCGCAGGCTTCCTGCGCGGCCTTCCTCGGCCCGGATTACAGCCCGACCTTGCTGCCGACCTTGGTGGGGCTGCTGTCGCACCCGCAGGCCTCGGTCGAGGTGCTGCAGGCCATCATCGACATCGTGGCCAACCTGGTGGCCGTGGTGGATGGCCAGGCCAGATCGGAAGAGCGTCGTGGTCGCAGGCTTCCTGCGCGGCCTTCCTCGGCCCGGATTACAGCCCGACCTTGCTGCCGACCTTGGTGGGGCTGCTGTCGCACCCGCAGGCCTCGGTCGAGGTGCTGCAGGCCATCATCGACATCGTGGCCAACCTGGTGGCCGTGGTGGATGGCCAGGCCCCGGCCGACTTGTCCGATGGCAAGGCAACCATGCAGCGGGAGCTGCGCGCGGCCCAGGCCGCCATGCTCCAGCCTGCCGGGGCCGATGCCGGCACCGTGGCGACCGAGTCGGGCCCGGTGGCGGCGGCCCGGCGTGCTTTGCTGGCCGTGGTGCCGGACTTCCTGCACCATGTGCACCTCCTGCTGCAGCGGACGCTGGCTCGCGACCCGGGGGCCCGGCAGCGCGTGCGTGCCGAGCGCATTTCGGCCTTCGCCCACGCGCGTGCGGGCATGGCGGCCGCTTCGACCCTGGCCGATGGCGGCCTGTCGGATGACCATCTTGGGCGGATTTTGTCGATCCTGGCCCGGCTGAGCCGCGGCCTCGGGGTGGCGACCGCCGGCGCGGCGCCCGGCTCGGCATCCGGCATCACCGATTCCACGGAGCTCGTGGCCCTGATGTCGGTGCTGGCCGTGCGGCCCAGCGCGCGGCTCTCCGAGTCGGCCATGGAGTCGGTGCTGGAGGTGGTGTCCAATCTCCTGCCGGGGGTGCACCTGGCGCGCCTGGGCGACCGGCTGGCGGAGATGCGCGGCGCGGTGGCCGCCCCGGCCGAGTGCCCCAGCCGCCGGGTGGAGAACTACTCGGCGCGGGCCCGCGCGGCGCTGGGGGCCCCGGCCATCGACGCTTCGGTGCCGGTGACCGCCGGCCGGCCGGCCGCCGAAATGGGCCACCCCCTGTCGGACCTGCTGGCGCCGCTGTTTGCCTCGCTGCGGACGCTGCCCACGCGGGCGGCCCTCTGTCGGGTGTTCGTGACCATGGCCGATGCGGTGCCCAGCATGGGCCCGCTGGCGGCGGCCCTGGTGGATTTGCACACGGCCGACGCCCAGTTCCTGGATGTGGTGGACTGGGAGCGCCGGGCTTCCGGCTTCCGGGCCCTGCGTGAGCAGGTCATGCCGACGGCCCCGGCCGCGGTTTTGGCCCCGGCCCTGCATGCGTTGTCCTTCTTCCTGCGCGATGTGGATGACTATTCCCTCCGGTCGAATGCCAGTCTCTGCTGGAGTGCCCTCCTGCAGCGGATCCAGGCCGGGGCTCATGTGGGATGTGCGACGCACAGCCCGGCCGAGCAGCACCACCTGGAGCTGCTGCTGCTGACGGTCTTCATGGCCGGCATCCGCCGGGCCATTCGCTTCTCCAAGGAGGCCGTGCAGCAGGAGTTCCTGCAGCTGCTGGGTCAGGCGGTCAACCTGCTTGGCCGGCATATGCCGTACTTCTTCTCGCTCTTCCACCTGCAGTTCAGCGCGGCCACCGTGCGCAAGCGCCGTCGCCAGCAGGAGGAGGATGAGGCGGAGGCGGAGGCCGAGACCGAGGCGGAGGCCGAAGCCCCCACCGCGGCCGAGGGCTCTGACGGCGCTCTCCTGGGCGGATCCGTGCCGCTGTTGCTCGGGTCCGAGGAGGCGCTGGCTGCTTCGGCGGGTGGCGACGCCCTGGAGGGCAGCTTCTTCGAGAATGTCTTCCACCTGCAGGCGTCTCGGCGGACGCAGGCCCTGCGCCAGCTGCGCCAGTCCCTGCGCGAGAATGACACCCCCGCGGAGGCCCTCATCGGGGCCACTCCGCCGGAGGAGGGGGCCCTGCTGCGGGTCCGTGTGGACCTGGGCTTCCTCAATGAGTTGATGGCTCCGCTGGCCGTGCGCCTGGCATTGGAAAGCATGGACGCCAGCCTGCAGGATGAGGCCATCGCCCTGTTGGGCGCCATTGCCGGGCACCTGCCGCTGGACAAGTTTGTCTTCCTCTTCTGCGACATTTCCGGGCGCTTCGATCGCCCGGCGGCCAAGACCCGCCTGCTGATCCGCATGCTGGTGACCGTGGTGGATGCCTTCCACTTCACGGTGGGCGAGCTGGACCCCGCGGTCCTGGCGGCCGAGGGGGCCATCGTCGATGGCGAGCCCGGCGACGGGGATGAAGGTGGCCCCGAGTCCGAGGACGAGGGCGACGACGGGCCGGAGGGCGGCGACCCGGGTCCGCAGGGCCCGACCGACAAGGCGCCCGGTGCCGAGCTCGACTCGGACAACGACGAGTCGGATGACGAGCCGGAGAGCGCCGGGTCCAAGGGGCCCGCGACCGCCGGCGATGCCGGGGCCAAGGGGCCCAAGTCGCGGAAGGCCTCGCCGGCCGAGGCGATCCTCCGTCCGGCGGCGGTCCTGTCGCGCGAGGCCCTCCTCCGCCTGGAGGAGCCGGCGCGCGTGCACTACTCCATCACGGCGACCCTGCTGCCGCGGCTGTATCGACTGGTGACGCGTGGCGCGGCGACCGCCATCGCGGCCGGGACCGGTGCGCGGAGCAAGGCCGCCGCGGCCGCGGCCCTGGGCGGCTCCAATTCCACGGTGTCCTCGACGTCCATGATGTCGATCGCGGACAATTCCACCTCGGTGCGGGCGGACGCGGTGACGCGCCTGCCGCTGGCCCTGTCGGCGGTGAAGCTGATGCGTGCCCTGCCGGAGAGTGCCATGGCCACGCGGCTGCCCTCGGTGCTGGCCACCCTGTCGGCGCTGATGCGGTCCAAGGATGAGGCCGCGCGTGACACCACCCGCAAGACCCTGGTGGCGGTGGCCCGGCTGCTGGGCCCCCGGTACCTGGTGTCGATTGTGTGCGACTTGTCCTCGGCCCTGCGCCGGGGGTATCAGGTGCATGTGCTCGGGTTCACGGTGTACACCCTGATGGAGGCCATGATGCCGTCCCTGTCGCCGATGCGCGTGGTGCCGGAGCTGGTGGAGGAGCTGGCGCGCATTTTCACGGCCGACGTCAGCGGTCTGCTGGCCGAGGAGAAGGACGTGGCCGGCCTGGCGGCCAAGGGCATCGAGAGCCGCGTGTCCCGGGCCCCGGAGGGCTTCGGCCTGATCGGGCGTCTGGTGGTGCCGGAGACCGTGCTGCTGGCCCTGGGTCCGGTGTGCGATGTGCTGGCCAGTGTGGAAGACTCGCGGACCAATCGCCGGGTGGAGGCCCTCCTCCGGCGGCTGATCGCCGGCATCGTGCAGAACCGGCACTTCCCCCGGCGCGAGGCCCTGGTGCTGGCGCACTCGTTGATCGTTCGCCGGTCGCCGGTATTTACGCACACCCAGCGCATGACGGCCGCGGCGCAGGCCACTCGGGCCGGGCCGCGGCGCAACCGCGACCAGGACCTGGACCCGGATTCGGACATCCGTGGCCAGGGGGTCGGCAGCACGGCCTTCGGCATTTCCGCCCGCCATGAGCAGACCTTCCTGGTGCAGTCGCTCAATCGGCCGGATGCCGAGCGTGATGCCGGGCTGTCCCATGGTGAGGCGGCTGTTCGGCGCTTCGCCGCCAATGCCCACCTGTTCACGGATGCCGGGCTGGGCCTGGTGACGGCCGTCATCAAGAGCCAGCATTCGGAGCGCATGCGCGCGTCGGCAGCCGACCGGGCCGCCGCCGCCGCGGCCTCCGGCCCGAAGGTCTCGCGTGCCGGCGATGATGATGGGCCGGCCTCGGCGGAGCCCGACCATGTGTCGCATGAGACCGCCGACCTGGAGGCCGCCGAGTCGGAAGCCGCCGAGATGGAGACCGCCGACCCGGAGGCGGTGGCCCGGCGTGCGGCCCGCATGGCCGAGGATGTGGCCCTGCTGGACCCGTTTGTCGAGCCGCTGCTGGGGTTCCTGTCGGCCCGGCGGAACCGCCTCCTGCCGCCGGCCCTGACGGTGTCCTCGCGGCTGCTGCAATTGCCGCTGCCCTCGCTGGATGGGCGCCATGAGACCGCCTACGCGGAGAAGCTCTTCCAGATTGTGCTGGACAGCCCGTCCACCGGGGACGAGGTGGCCCTGGCGGCGCTGCGGGCCTTGACGCTGGTGGTCCGCCACCGGCCCAAGGCCATCGTCGACCCGGGCAAGCTGGAGCGTGTCATCGCCGTGGTGTCGCCGGAGTTGGAGAGCGCCGATCCGCGTGTCCATGGCGCGGCCTTCCCCTTCTTCCGGGCGTTGCTGGCCCGGCGGGTGGTGTCGCCCGGCATGGAGGCCACGGTGGACCAGCTGTCGCGGCTGCTGGTGGTGTCGCCGGAGCAAAGTGTGCGCAGTGCCTCGCGGCAGTTGCTCCTGCGCTTTGTGCTGGATTACCCGCTGCCGGCCGGGCGCCTGGCCGGGCTGCTGCACTGGCTGGTGGAGCAGCTGGCCTATGAATTCGAGCTGGGCCGGCTGTCGGTCATCCAGCTGCACATGGACTTCATGCGGTTCCTGCCGGCGGCCACGGTGCAGGCCAATGCCCTGCTTTGGCTGCTGCCGCTTGTGTTTGCCCATGTCGGCGATCAGGCCACCCAGTGCCGTGCCCTGGCCGGGGCGGTGATCGGCGCGCTGGTTGCCCGGCTGGAGCCGCGGCCGCTGGACCAGGTGCTGGCGCTGCTGCGGAGTTGGCTGGCCGGTGGCCGGCCGGCTCCGGCCCGGTCGGCCCTCGATGGGGCCCCCCGGCTGTCGGCCCTGACCCCGGCCCCGGCGAACCCGGAGCTGGCGCGCGCCGGGGCCCAGCTTGCCGGGCTGCTGAATGACGCCCTGGGCGATCGGTTCCAGGGGTCGGCCGCCATCATGGCGCCTCTTCTGCTGGACCGGCTGGTGGAGCTGCTGACCGGGCCGCGCAGTCGCCAGGTGGATGCCATCTGGCAGACGGTTTACTCGATTCTCGGGGCGCTGATGAAGCTGCTGCGGGATCACCCGCAGCGTGTGGGCCCGCGCCTGCACTGGCCGCTGCTGCTGCAGACGGATGTCCTGCGCCGGGGCCTGCTCTTCCCCCATGCGTGGGTGCGCAAGGCCACCGCGCGCCTGGTCGGCCAGTTGCTGGCCATGGCGGATGCCGAGTCGCTGGTCATTCGTGATGCCTTGGCGGCCCATGTGGCGGCCTCGGCTGCGGCTGTGGCTGCGGCCGATGTGTCGGCCTCGGCCCCGGCCCCGGCGACGACCGGCTCCTCCACCCCGGACGAGGGGGCGCCCGTGCGGTCGAAGCGTGCTCAGAAGCGCGCCCGTGCGGCCCAGCAGGCCAAGAGCCTGGAGGGGGAGGAGGCGGCCCCGGCGGCGGCGGCCCCGGCGGCGGCCCCGCTGCCTCCCCTGCCGGCTCCGACGCTGCTGCCGCTGGTGGTGTCGCTGGCGCGATTCTCCCTGCGTCAGTTGTACTCGGACAACCTGGACAGCGAGCATGGGGACCAGATTGTGCGCAATCTCTTCTTCCTGTCGCGAGTGCTGTACCAGCATGGGGACCTGGTGTCGGCGGATGCGGCCCGGCGTGAGGCCGAGGCGGCGACCTCCACCCCGTCGGCCGACGGGGCGGACTCCGACGATGCGGACTCCGACGACGAGGCCCTGTCCGGCCTGCAGGAGGAGGAGGACTCCGCCGGGGCCGGGGACGATGGCCTGGGCTCTGCCTCGCGGCGGGTGGACCGCCAAGAGGACTACTCGCTGGCCAGCCTGACTGCCGGGGAGTCGGGTGCCTCGGACAATGACGCCGACGGCGCCGACAATGATGACCCGCTGCCGGCTCCCTCGGCCTCGTCGCTGGCTCTACGGGCGGCGATGGCCGAGCGCGGCCCGGCGGCCAAGCGCCACCGTGGCCACGCGGCCGGGTCCTCCGAGGAGGAGGCCGATGCCCAGGAGGCCGACGCCCCGGCGGCGGACATCATGTCCTCGCTGCTGGTGTCCGAGGAGGATCGCCAGCGTTTCGTCTTCGGCAGCTGCTCGTCGGCCTCGTTGCTGTGGCTCTTCCGGCGGATGTGCCAGATTGCCCGCCGCGAGCACCTGACCAACCGCAGCACGAAGAAGGTATGTGCCTGTTTTCTTTTTTCCCTTCCCGCTCCTTCGGTCGACACTTGGTTTGTCCCCTCCATCGTGGAAGGGGGGGGGGGCAGGGGGCGGGGGGCGGGGGGCGGGGGGTGGCCATGCTTCCTTCCTTTCGCCTTCACCTGCTCTCGGCGTTTTCTCACACCTCCCCCGCTCGTTTGATTGGTTCATCACCCATGCCACCCTCTTGCCCTGGCGTCCCGTGCCTCGCCTCGCGCGCACCCCCGTGCAACGTGCACACACGCGCACACACACACACAGCGCACGCTCGTCTTCAAGTGGATCGCCGCGGTCTTCCAGATCCTCTCGCCAGAGGATCGCACCCTGCTGGCGCCGATGGCCCTGCTGCCGATTGTCCGTGTGATCTCCCTCTCGGCGGACACCCTGCCCGGTGGGCCGGACCTGCCCCAGCGCCGGGCCGAGCACACGACCCTGCAGCGCCTGGCCGAGGAGGTGCGCGGCCTGCTGCGGACTTCGGTCGGCGGGGCGGACACCTTCGTCGAGCTGCACGATGCCACCCTCAGATACCTGCAGGCCCTGCGCCTGGACCGTCGTCGGCGCACCCGGCAGCTGGCCATCCTCCGGCCGGAGGTGGTGGCTCAGCGCCGCGAGCGTCGCAACGAGCGCACCCGCCAGTCCAAGCGGTCGCTGTCCGAGGCGCGCCAGCTGCGCCGGCCCACCGGCCACCGGATCAAGCTCACTTCCTCCATGCCGGGGTCCGGAGTCCATGGCGAGAGCCTGTGAGGAGGCGGCCAGCCCGGCGGACACAAGTGAGGTCCCTTTCTCCATCCTCTCTCCTTTTCTCCCCCCTTCCCCATGGCGGCCACATGCGCCAATGCCGGCTTCCTTGGCTCCCGGTGCTCTGTGCTCTGGCCATTGGTCTTCCCTTCCGCGCCCTCCTTTTCTTTCGTGTGGCGGCCGCCTCGGCCGCGCAACCAATAGACTATCTGTTTCAAAGAACGAAGGAAAGCACTCCCCCCCCCCCTTCGCTGGGGAGGGCTGGGCAGTCGAGTCGGGGCATGTATTGTGTCTGCGACTGCGCGCGCGTGTGTGTGTGTGTGCTTCCGACATTCGGAGGGCGGAGCGAGAGAGGCTTGGCGGCCTGCCCCATCTATGAGCGCCAGATCGACGCGCGGAGCCGACCACAAAGACCTCATCTTCACGCCGGTAGTGGCTCACTCCTCAGCGGGAGCAGTCTCCTCGGCCGGGGTGATCTCCTCGGCAGGGGCAGGCTTCTCGGCGAGGGCAGGCTTCTCCCCCTCCGGCTCGGCGGGGGCCAGCTTCGCCTTCTTGGCCTTGGGCTGCTTGGGGGCCTGGTCGAGCTTGATCGCGCCCTTGCGCGTGGGAATGACCGCCTCCAGGACGGCCGGCCAGTCGCCATCCCTCCGGAAGGCCTCCAGCAGGATGTGGTGGACTGTGGGCCGGGGACGGCACCGGAAGGGGGGAGGGAGGGAGGGAGGGAGGCAGGGGGCTGGTCAATGGGTGTCCGGGGCAAATGCGAGGCAGGGCATCCGAGAGCGGGGTGGCCCTCGGCCGCGTACCCTGGTTGATGGTAAGCACATGGCGGGTGTCCAGGCGGATGTGCTCGCTGATGGGCAGCCGAGCGGTCCGGACGCCGGCCTGACGGGCCCGCTCATAGCACAGGCCGGGATGGTGGTTGTTGTCCACCAGATTACCGATGACATAGATGTGCCCCGGGGCAATTTTCTCCACGACATTCGGTGACTCAGCCGTCAGGTAGATGACGCGGGATTGCCACTGGGCCGGGTCCACTTCCTCGGTCGGGCGGCCGGTCTCCGCGTCCATGTGCAGGGCCAGGCCGTGATTGGAGGTGTGGCTGGGAGTCTGGCCAGGGGTGTGGCTGGGAGTCTGGCCAGGGGTGTCACTGGTAATCTGGCCAGGGGTGTCATTGGGAGTCTGGCTGGGGCTTACCTTCGCGATCTGCTCGCCAGCCTGCTCGCCAGCCTGCTCGGTGGTTTGCCCAGCAGACTGGTCCATGTCCTGGTCAGGGGCACCCTGCTCGGCGGTCTTGGCCGAGGAAGCCCCTGGCCCGGCCAAGATCCGGGCCACAAGCGACGGCAGCTCCTCGGTCAGGCTGCCCTGCATGAAGTTGACCCCGCCGGCGCGTCGCCACTCGCTCCAGCTGCAGCAGCGGTCCATGCGCTCGCGGTACTGCCCCCCGAAGGAGGTGGCATGCAGGTGGAACGGGTACTCGGCCCGGGCGTTGAGCGCATAAATGTGCTCGGTCTGGCGCACAAGCGAGTTGATTTGCTGCGGACCGCGGCCGACCAGGAGAGGGCATGTGCGTGTGGTCAGCGGTCCGCCGGGGCAAACGCATGAAATGCATGGCCACGCAATGGCAGGCATTCATGTATGTGTGGCATGCGTGCGTGCGTGCGTGCGTGCGTGCGTGCGTGCGTGCGTGCGTGCGTCGATGCCGATGTACGCGCAGCTGGCCGACACCGATGGCCCGGGCGCACCTTCTCGCTCATCAGCTCGTCAAAGCTGCTGTCCAGCACCACATGCACACCGCTGGTGATGAGGGTGTCGTCCATGGGGTCCATCTTGCGCGCGCGCTTGCGCAGGTGCAGGTTCAGCTCCTTCAGCACGGCCGCCTCGTCGAAGGAGGTCTCCTCGCGCTCATGCTGCTCCTTGATCTCCAGGAACTGCCGGAGGAGGCCGGCCCGCGCGCGGCGCTTGTCGATCCGCTGCTGCCGGCGGTCCTCGCGGCGCTGCTCGGATTTGGCCTCCCACTCCTGCTGCCGGCGCAGGCGGCGCTGCTGGTTCTTCGACAGCTTGGGAGCCGCCTCGCTCGCCGAGGGGGTGCCCCCCTCAGCAGGAGAGGCCGTTTCGGAGAGAGGGGCATGCTCAATGGGGGAGGCGGCCTCCGTGGCCATTGGGGCCATTTCGTCGGTTGCCGGGCTCGGCGGGACGTCGTGAGCGTCTACCATGGTGCTGGGGGGGGGGGGGGGATCGGGTGCGAAGAAAAATAAAAAGGCGAAGGGCGGATGCCGTGCGCGCGCGCGAAAAAAAAAGAAGGCCGACTGGCAGGGGACAGGCACACAAAGAGCGGGGAGGGGGGAGCAGGTGCAGGATGGCGGCTGGGGGGCTGGCAGCGGCGGTGGATCGCGCCGCCCGCTCCCGGCTCTTGAGGGCGCGCGGCCGGGCGTTCCCCCGCCCCTCCCCGGTCGATCCCCCCCCTCTGGGCCGGGCCACGCGCCAGCGCCCGCTGATCGGCCGAGCAGCCACCGCTCGCCGGGCTGGCCCCCCCGGGCCCCATGGAGCGGGAGCTCCAGCGATACGGCCCCCTGCGTTGGGACTTCGAGCGGGGCGCTGTTGGCTGTGCGGCGGGATTGATTGCCTGGCGGCCCGTCGCCCGGGCGCCCTGTGCGTCACGCCAACACCCTCCGCCCTCCGCCCGCCCCCCCTCCTCTGCCGTTCCTCCCTCTGCGCCGCTCTTCTCCCCCCTCCCCCCCCAACACCGCGGCCCCCCCCCCTGGTGCGTGGTCCCCCCCCCCCCCCCGCCCTCCCCTCCCCCAGATCGACCGCGTTCCCTGTTTTTTCCACGGCCTTTCTGACACACGCCCACGTATACACCCTCCCGCCCGCCCGCCCGCCCGCCCGCCCACACGCACGCACGTACACATACGCACCCGCCTGCGGCCCCCGATGCAGAGCTCATCGACAAGTGCATTGGCTCGCGCATCTGGCTGCTCCTGCACGGCGAGTCCGAGCTGGTGGGCACCCTGTGCGGCTTCGACCAGCATGTCAGTGCGTCCAATCCGGCCCCTTGGCCAGCTGCCTCCTCCCTGGCTTGCCATGTGCCGCGCGGGGGTTCTTTCCTCTGGTTGCCAGACCGTACATTGCGTGGTCCTAACGGCCCCTGCCCCTCTCCACCTCCCTCCCTCGCTCCCTCGCTCCCTCGCTCCCTCCCCCCCTCTCTCTCTTTCCTTCCCCCCGTCCACCCCAGACATGGTCCTCGAGGATGTCACCGAGATGTGCGTTCGCCGGCCTCCCCCTCCTCTTCCCTGGCATGGCGCCCTCCCTCGCCCACACAGACCGCCTCGCCCGCCCCTGCCGCAGGCCTTCTCACGCCGTGACCGCCGGCCCCGCCGCCCCCTCTCGCAGTCAAGTGAACCCGGATGGCTCGCGTCTGCAGCTCCCGGTTCGCAAGTCCATGCTCCTGAGCGGGAACAACATTGCCATGGTTCGACCTTTTTGCGCGCCCCGATCGTGCGCGTGTCGCCCCGCTTCATCTCGCTCTCCTCCCACGCCTGACATGTTGTTTGCCCGCGCCTGCACCTCCTCGCCCGTCTGCCCGTTGGCCTGCCCGCGCGGTAGCTCATCCCCGGTGGATCGTACGTTCATCTTCCTCTCCTCCCGCCCGCCCGCCCCCCCCTCCCCCCCCTGTAATATGCTTCCCGCACCGATCTAATCTCCCTGCTTCCTTTTTGCCCAGCCCCTCCGACATCTCAGCCTGAGCCCACCCGGCCGCCGGGTCGCTCGCCCCCCCCTGGGCCCGGGGCTCGGCATCTGGCCGACTCCCCCCTCACACCTCAGTCCACGAATAAATGCCCCCTGTACAGTACTTTCACGGCCATGGATCTCTCTATTGCACACGCTATTCTTCCAGCCAAGGGGGAGGAGGGAAGTGTATGTGTGTGTGTGTGTGCGGCGTGCGACGTGCGACGTGCGACGTGCGCATGCGTGTGTGTGTGTGTGTGTGTATATAAGGCAGTGTGACAAGGAAAAGGAGCAACGCATCCCCCACCAAGGCAGGGGCCCGCCGCATTCAGCCGCTCACGCTGCAAGGCGCTACCGCTTGCCGGCGCCGGTCTTCAGGGACTTGGCCTTCTTGGCGGCGGTGGTCGTCGCGGCCGAGGGCTTCTTCTTGTTGGCGGCGGCCTTGTCGGCCGGGGCCCGGGGGAGGACCTTGAAGAAGCCATCCAGGCGGCTCTGCGTCGAGTCGCTGCGAGCCTTGTCCAGGCGCTGGATCACCGAGCGCACGCGCTCCTCACTGTGCCGCCGTGCGCACGCGCGCGCGCACGAGAGGGAGAGAGACAGAGAGGGAGAGAGAGAGAGGGAGAGAGAGAGGGAGAGAGAGAGGGAGAGAGAGAGAGGGAGAGAGAGACAGAGAAGCAGACTGTCAGTGGCAGGAAAGCCTCACCATCCCGGTCTCACTGGCTCCTGGGCAGGAAAGGATCAAAGCAAGAAGAGGCTGGCACGCACTTGAACCCCTTCTCGGTCACCAAGAACTTGACAATGCCCTCCTCATCGGGGCTCGACCACTTAAGCTGCATGTGCATGTGTGTGTGTGTGTGTGTGTGTGTGTGTGTGTGTGTGTGTGCAAGGGGCGGGGGAGAAGCACATCAGCAAAGATCCTCGCCGAGTCAGACCGAGGCAATGACCTCCGGCAACCCCCCTCCCCCCCCCACGCGGCAGACAGACATACGCAGGCAGGCGCCTGCGGGAGGTGGAGGCAAGGAAAGGGGGGAAGAGCGACGCACCTCAATGTCCGCCACCGGGGTCACCTCCGGAGACCGGAACAGCTCGCGGACCTCCTTGTAGGGCCAGTTCTCCGGGACGGTGTACCTCTTGGGGTCCAGATTCTCCAGGATGGTCTCGATGTTGCGGTGCTTGCGGATGAATTCCAGGGCACGCTTGGGGCCGACGCCGCGGATGGTGTCGCAGAAGTCACACCCCAGCAGGATGCACAGGTCGATGAACTCGTCCATCGTGAGTTCCAGCAGCTCCAGCACCCGGGGGAGGGAGTACTCGGCGATCGGCACCTTGCGCGCCTCGCTGTATGTCAGATGCCGGAGCAGGATGGTCGACCCGCACGTCAGCGAGTCCATATCCTCGGAGGCGGTGGCATACACCAGCCCTTTGGCGGCCATGACGGCGCACTGGGCCTCTGCCTCGCAGGGGGCCTCGATGTAGGGGATGCCCATGAGCGTGAGCAGGCGCTTGCACTCGGCCGTGTGCTCGGCCGTGACGCGCACCGTCCGCCGGGAGAACTTGTCCATGTCCGCCTGGTTGCCTGGGGACGGGGCAGGATGGATAGGGGCCGGGGGCGGGGGGGGCAGGGGGGGTCGTAGCCCGGCGGGGAGCAGCGAAAAGGCGAGCGGTCAGTGTGCGGGGACGTTTGCGCGGTGTGTCGGGGCCTGGCATGGACCGGGCCCCTTGCGCGCATATCGCTGCTCGTGCGCATGGCCGGCTCCTTGCCGGGCCCTCGGCGACACGTACCCTGCTCAGTGGCCGTCTTCAGGCTCTCTTCGGCCTGCTGGCGGCGCTCCGAGCGTTTGGACAGCTCGCCGCCCTTGAGGGCCGGCGGCTTGCCATCGAACACGTACACGGGCTTGATGCCGTTCTCGACCATGCGTGCCGTGCGGTAAAGCATGCCCATGAGGTGGCTGCCGGTGGGGCGGGTGCGGGGGGCGGGG